ACTGAAACTATAAAAACACCAAAAATGTTTTTTAGAAATTTGGTGCATGTTCGAATGAAATCATCCGAATTAGTTTCATATTTTTATTTTCTGATATGTTAATCTATCCAAAGATGCTTGAGAAAAAACAAAAGTATAAATTCTGCTTTAGTTCCAACAATAGGCGACATCTCATAAATACAGCAAAAAATAAATAAACTTGGCAATACTCGCCTTGCATCATTGTATCAAATGTTATAAAACTGATTGTTCAGTGAAACTCAGTGATGATTCTTAAGATAATTAAAATCCACACTGAATTTACATTCTGTGTTCCAACACATGATAAAATGATGTCAAGTTGATTTATTTCGTTGTGTTTATGAGATATCACCTACTGTTGGAACTAAAGCAGAATTTTGACTTTTGTTTTCGCTTAAGCGTTTTTGGATAGATTTTAAGTATTTTTGGGTATTACACCAACCCAAGAAAGAGTAAAATCATTATTGTTTAAGTAGACCTTTAAAGAGAAGTAATATGCAGATCAGAATGTTATAGATAATATCAATTAGGATATACGGGATTTAAAAGTGTTATCTTTAAGGACGACAACATATGGAAAAGACCCAGAAGCAGCAGTGACATGGGTGATACTTTCGTTCTGAGCTGGCCTATGAGAAGTAAACTTTGAGAGTGACCGGATGATGGGGAAAAGAGGTTTTTTTTTCTAATCAGTGTTCCTTGTCATTCACCGCTGATGTGGAATGTTTTCAACAATATTTACTCATCGCTGATGCCGAATGTGAATAATACAATCAATATTTACTTACAACTAAAAAGAACTTTTGATATTTATTACTACTTCAAGTAGAAATATGTTTCAACTTAACAGACGCACACCGAATTCATTGCTTCATGTCGCTAGTGCTAGGATTAGTATATATCGTAAAACTTGCAACAGATGGAATTAAAAATTAAAAATGATTTGTTTTATCCTTAGCATCATACATTTTTTTTTCATTCAACATCTCCGCCTACTTTTTATTCTAGCCCCGCTAGAAGTATCCAGAAAATTTCAAAATTTTCATTACCCCCAATCTTTGTCCAGCAACAAAATATATAAAGAAAAAATGGTGGGGTTGTTAAGTTTCATTAATGGTATGACTGTGAAGATGAAAGTTCATTGTGTACGCTTTTGTAAAGTTTGATTGTCAAAAATTGTAGTGTCTGCTTTAAAATAAGTTCTATTTTGCCATTATTCGCTACTAAGGAAAGCAACTCCAAAAAGCAGCATGCTAAGTGTAGTAGCGAAAGTTGAAGTGTGTGACTGCAGCTCCACCTAGCGACTACTGCTAGCAGATCCTTACGTTTAGAGAAGAGTAATAAACGTGTATATTTTATTATGTCTAATGAACAAACCGAGTAACCAACAAAAGATACTTAAGTAGTTTTGATTCATATTTTCCTTGTTTTTTTTTTGGCTACGAAATTGTCGTTCTGTTTGATATAATGTAATGTCCCCACGTTATTATCTTTATGCTTGCTTGCTAACATGGCAAAAGGTCACTTGATTTTGGGAAAACATCCCACCTGTTATACCCTGGTTCTAAGACTGCAGTGGCGCAATGTTGTAGGGCTTTTATTAGGCATGATACGAGAAACTTGGCGAGTATAAAAAAAAGTGGACTTTAAGAAAAACACACAGCAGAACTTTGTACATATGCATACATTGAGAAAAGTACATACCTTAAAAACAAGCGACTTGGCCTGAAGGTAAAAAGCCTCAACTGTTGCAGTATCACGTAAGAGAGTGATGCTTTCTACGAAGTACCTATCAGAAAAAAAAAACAAAAACATAATTTTATTCATTTTTTGTATCATTATATTATACATTAATTACCACAATTAGACCTTGGGCTTGATAACAAAATGTAAATCGGAACTAAATTTTAATTAGCATTTCACACATTTTGTAATTTGTTGTCTAACTGAATTTACATCAAGTATTACACATAACGAATGTTCTCCTGAAGATCATAAGTTCTCCTATAACTATAATTAGAGATTTTTTTATACAATTATACTATAGACAAACTAAGAATGAACGCTACACACAGATACGATAACCACACTGGAGAAATTTGCAGACGACAAAAAACAAAAACGAAAGAAGTCAACATCGTGATCAAAGATTTTAAACCATTTTAAACATGTTACCTATCACACCCACGATATCAGCCAGGTATATTATTTCCAACGATAATTAATTTTGTTTATAGTTTTAACATACTCACTTCACAAGGAAATAAAGAACTACAGGTTCATGAGATGATTTTTTAGGGAACTCGTGCTCCAGTACTCTTTTCTCCAAATGTAGCCAACAGTAGTGACCCCTAGAATAAAAAACAACAACATAATAAATACAACAAAATTAGAAGACAGACTCGTTCCTTGTTTTTTTTATCTTTTTCAGTGAAAAAATTGAGTACATACTAATTTAATACATACATACAAATTACAGTACACAAACTTGTTAAATTTTATGGTGGACAACCTCGAACTATAACATTCGTTACAGGTGTATGTGTAAAAGCAATTCCACTACACGTGTCGACTGTGTGTAGTCAAAAGAAAATGTGATGAATTTACATTTGATCATACAAAAAAAACCGAACAAACTAGAATTCATATTTGCGTATGTAGCAAATATTTTATCTTTATAACATCTCCCATAATATAACATAACTCGTAATATATTTTTCCTGTTAACATTATTCTCGCAGACATTGAATGCTTATTCGTTTAAACATTCTTTGATAGTTTTTTTTTGTTAAGCACCAAGCTACACAATGGGCTATCTGTGTTCTGCCCACCACGGGTATTGAAACCCGCTTTCTAGCGTTGTAAGTCCGCAGACATAGCGCTGTGCCACTGGGAGGGGGCTCTTAGATAGGAATCGTGACAAGGATTTCTGTGGAGGGATTTTCAATACAGTAAAAACAGAATTTTAAGACAGCTAGCAGCCTAATCGATTTTCACATCTATCGGTTTTGTTTCTTAAATTCCGAGTAAAACTATTCGAAAATTATCTGCGCAAGCTGTCCCTAATTAATAAACTAGAGGAAAGGCACCTAGTCAACATCACTACCGCCAACTCATGAGCTATTATTTACCAACGAAATTAGGTAAATTTAGGACCATTTCAATACCAAGGTTGTCTACGTCACAAAGTTGTGTGACATTTCTTTTCTTTTTTTATGACTGATCTATCATATGTAGTCTTTAGAATGCACCCTAATAGTCAAGATCGAAGACCGTCACCGAACATGTTCGTCTTTTCAGTCACGTGGCGTTATACTGTGACGATCAAACCCACTATTCAACTAGCGTAGCCCAAGAGTTAGAAGTGGGTGGTGTTGACTATCTTACATGTTTAAATTAGGGACGCCTAGCGCAGATAGCCATCGAGTAACTTTGCGCGAAATTCAACAAACATCAAACAGATAACATGAGTTTCATTCTTATAAACCATAATTTATAAATAGAATGAAATCATTTGATAGTGTTTGTTTGTCAACATTTGAAGTACGTATTTTATCACGTACGTTTTCAATGCAAGACAACAAACAAAAGAAAACGGAGTAGGATTTGGTTAGTTTTAAGACCGGGCAAAAAATAGGTTTGAAAGGCGGACACTCAGACAACACCTTTCCTTTAAATATATATAACAAAACTGACTTATGACGTTATACTTTTAGTCAGCTTGTTACATAGTCTTGGCTTCAAACGTGATTCTTAAATTATTATTTACTAGCAGAAACGCCGCCCGACGAACGGCTGTTTGTCTAATCGTAGTATTCACACTTCATTTAAATAGAAGTGAGAAAAAAAGTGAACATTTTCTAAAAAATGTGTTTTTCCTGGAAACCATTTCACACTTTAGGTATTCAAGATTCAGACAATTAGAAACATAACTGTGGTATGTGCAACAACCATTTCTTTATAATAGAACACAAATTTAAATAAAAAGTACTCTCCTCACAACAAGAACACAACTTTCACTAGGACTGTATGTGAGGGTTTGATTTTTATCTTTATTGATGTAATTTTTAAACGTAGTATTGAGAAACTGGAGTTCTTAAAAACTATTATTTTTTCAATAAACGGTTCCACTTTTAATACATAAAAGCATTACAGTTTATATCAGTAAAACGTATGAAAATTTTGATCTTTGTACATTGAATCATTTTGATGCAATGAGTTGTGTATGACTAAAGAAAAAAGTCAGAAGACTTTCCCGTGCAGTACTTATGGATTTTTGTTTGTGCTGCCAGTCAATAGATGGCGAAGGATGTTTGGTTCATATATGGGTTCTGACGTACACGGTACGTCCATTATAGTAAGATTTTAAAAGCTAGCAAAATATTCACATAATGCTTAGAACACCGTGTTCGTAGTGACGTAAGCTCTAGATATTTGTCTTTGTGAACTGTAGATTATTTTACATAAGAAAACGCATTCTACAGGGATTCTACACTAAATCTGATGCGTTATCCTGGGCTGAATGCTACTTGTGGGAAAAAAAATGGTAGTCTTAGTTTAATTGTTCAAAGTTGGATATACTTTCTGATACAAATTTGAAAAAAGAAACACTTATTGTATGATATGTACATATGAAATTAGGTTTAATAATAGACAATCAAACTGAGGTCATTTTTACTGATTCTGTTTAGAAGTCAATGTTCTATTTTAGCTAAAAGAAGCAGACATTTATGTACACGTGATCTATATTTAATTTACTATTTTATGTGTTTAATTACTACACATTTGGCTTAATAATTTTATATGGTTAGTTACTATAGCCCCAGGCGAGTCAGCAGTAAGTTTATGGACTTACAACGCTGAAATCCGAGGTTCGATTTCCCGCGGTTGGCACAACGCAGATAGCCCATTGCGTAGCTTTGTACTGAGAAGTCAATAAGAATAGTTACTAGCTATAAATATATAATTCTTTATTACAGACAAAATGACTTGTGGAAATACCACATTTAGGAACGAGACTTTATTTGTTAACCCGAGCTTTCCTTTTTACGGGGAGGACGGGACAAATACGTGTCAGATGACCATTAAAAACATCAATAACATATGTCAAATGAGACTGGACTTCCTCGAGTTCAACATCGCACAACCTGATAGAAACGGCCGATGTACAACGGACTCGTTTATTGTGGGATCTTCAATTGGAGAAAGGTATCCGATCTTGTGTGGAGAAAACAGTGGTCAACATAGTAAGTATAGTATTGAAGTTTTGTTTTTTTGTTCCGAGTGCTTGCAACGAGAAGAAATAAAACACGTTATTTGAACTCCAAATTACAATTAAATGCCAATTGAGTATATATATATTTTTTTTCTAGATAAAAAACAACAACTAATGCTTTAAAGTCAAATTAAGATGCCCCACCAGTTGCTCAGAGGAATGTCTGCAGAGTTATAACGCCAAAAACCGGGTTTCGATTCTCGTGGTGAGCAGAGCACAGATAGCCCATTGTATAGCTTTGCGCTTAACAACAAACAAACAAATTTAGATGTATTCGGCATGATGTGATCTTACTCAGGTACTAATGTGAATTTTTACATTACTCATGCAAGCTTTGTGCTCAACAACAACAAACAAACAAATTTAGATGTATTCGGTATAATGTGATCTTACTCAGGTACTAATGTGAATTTTTACATTACTTATGCACAGAAGTATTTCAATATATTTTAATGCGAAACACTCGCTTTAGTAATGTACTTGTATAGGTAGCAAAGAATATATTTACCAGTTCATCCGATAAGTCATAGCAGAAGAGCTCAAAATAAAGGAAAAGGGCCGTATCTGAAAATAAAATATTGAAAAAATACATATACATATAAAAATCACATTTTCGTACAGAGGATATTACATAGATAAACTGGTAGAAAAATGGTTAAATCTCAACATTAAAAATTTACATATTTTCAGTCAAAGAACTTTAGAAGATAAACCAGCATTATCTAGAAACAACAAAATCGCCAATTATAGCGTTTTTTTTTCTGCTTTTAATTTTCTAATCTATTCAGAATAATCGTGATGAAAATGTTGGGATAGGAACCTTATTTTCATGTTCAATCGAAGGTGTTGCCATGTCGTGATTCAAAGTTTTATATATACGTAAGTATCTATTATGTATGAATGTGCATATACTTTCACAATCTGAAATACTGAAAAGCTTAAAGTCCTCATGACAGTTAAACGAAATTTTTAGTTTCTTAAAATTAGTATATCATGAACGTATATAAGATATTTCTTGCAGAAAAAAAAACATTTTCAAACTTTAATACGAGTTGAAAAATAGGACACATAAAGTTTGTCAACACGACACATATTAATTTCACATTGAAGTACTTAAAGTATATGGTGTTTCAACATTGAATTTTCCTAGCTAGAACTTTCCTTTTAAATAATCCATTTTGTAGCCAAGCTACTTTCTGGCTTTGGCCAGAGTATGGACAAAAATAAAATAAAAAAATCAATGATCAATATTTACGTTTATTAAGTATTTTTCTTGTCGCTGTGTTTACAATAAAATAATTCTCCAACAGTGTATATTGACATGGGAAGAAGCCGGTCGAGTAACCCAATCGTTCTGAGCGTCATCACTAATGGAAACAAAATGACCCGGACATGGAGGATAAAGATATCGATGATAAGATGTAAAAGTCTGGAGTTAGGTAAGTAATACAATCTTCAGATCCACAAAAGGGGCTCCACAGTTGTGTCATTTAAGATATAGCTTAATTTCTACCTTTTACTCGGAAATTCGTTTCAATTATCTTCGTAATATATTTGGGGCCTGGCATGGCCAGATGGTTAGAGCGTTTGACTTGCATTCTGAGGGTCAAATCCCCGTCCCACCAAACATGCTCGCCCTTCTAGCCGCGGAGGCGTTATAATGTGACGGTCTGTCCCACTATTCGTTGGTAAAGAAATAACCCAAGAGTTGGCGGTGGGTGGGGATGACTAGCTGCATTCCCTCTAGTCTTTCACTGCTAAATTAGGGACAACTAGCGAAGATAGCCCTCGTGTAGCTTTGTGCGAAATTAAAAACAAACCGTAATATAGTTTCTTTGGCAATCGTATAACACCAAGTATATAGTAACTTTTACTTCATCCTGTATAATTTCGTACAATCTTTGATACTCTTAAAATAAAGAGATTTTATATCGCTGAAACACATACTTGTTAAAAATGATTTGTTATGCTATATATTTTGCAGTTAAAGTATTAACTTTTCCTTCGAGATAAATTAACGGGGAAAACTATTATGCAATGTGATAAGTCTGAACATGTAAGCGTGATAAAAAACTAACTTGTTGGTGAATCTAACTAGATTTTAATAAGACAGAAATAGCATTTAATTAAAATAATAATTGTAGAAAAATTACAATAAAATGTCACCTTATAGGTTTAGGTTACTTCTATGATTACATGATTCAACAATACATAATTCCGGGCATTTCTGTAAAACGTTTCGTATATTGTAACAACGTTGAACATGTACATAATTCGGGGCATTTCAGTTGAAAAACTACACATATTATTAAGTTACCTCCCTGAGAACGGCTTCTACGGCTTTGTTAATATAGGCTCACGAGTAACAGCAAAACCTAATTATCTCAACCTTTCACCAACAGCACCAACAGGATGTTTGCAATATTACCAGAAGCCGAGCGATGTTGTCCGGAGTTTTAACTGGGGTCTCCCGACAATCGGAAACGTGAGGTATCTCAGCAATCTTCGTTACACGGTGTGTCTTCGAGTGGAGGAAAACTTCTGTTCCATTAAGTGGGAAACAGAAACACCGGAGTCTTTCTCTTGGGGCTGGCCGTTTGATGAAGGATCCATGGGTTTCGTCTGTAATAACGATGATTTCATCGAGATCTCCCAGGGCTCTCCTTCAGGCCTGAGAGTAGGGGAAGATCGGTTCTGTGGAAACTCTCTGCTAAATAGAAACATAATTATCTGTAAGTATAAGGAAGACTAATGTAGTTAAGTGAAAGCAATAATTATAAAATTAGTAAAAGTAAGTAACAGCAAGGGATAATTGAGAGTAAATCTATGTAAGTACCATTAAATGATTGACAAAACCATTGTTAAATGATTGACAAAAGCACTGTTAAATGATTGACAAAAGCACTGTTAAATGATTGACAAACTCATTGTTAAATGATTGACAAAACCACTGTTAAATGATTGACAAACTCATTGTTAAATGATTGACAAAACCATTGTTAAATGATTGACAACACCATTGTTAAATGATTGACAAAAGCACTGTTAAATGATTGACAAAAGCACTGTTAAATGATTGACAAACTCATTGTTAAATGATTGACAAAACCATTGTTAAATGATGTTGAACTGTAAAGCTTACACCAATTACTGTATCTGTAAGTAGTGAATACTACCTTTTCACAAGGATGGTACATCGACAATACTCAAGGACGTTACATCGACAGTACATAAGGACGTTACATCGACAATACTCAAGGGCATTACACCGACAATACTCAAGGACGCTACATCGACAATACTCAAAACCGTTACATCGACAATACTCAAAATGTTACATCGACAATACATATGGACGTTACATCGACAATACACAAGGACATTACATCGACAATAGATAAGGACGTTACATCGACAATACTCAATGACGTTACATCGAAGATACATAAGGACGTTACATCGACAATACATAATGACGTTACATCGACAATACTCAAGGACGTTACATCTACAATACTCAAAAACGTTACATCGACAATACATATGGACGTTACATCGACAATACTCAAAAACGTTACATCGACAATACTCAAAAACGTTACATCGACAATATACAAGGACGTTACATCGACAATACTCAAGGACGTTACATGGAAGATACATAAGGACGTTACATCGACAATACATAATGACGTTACATCGACAATACTCAAAAACATTACATCGACAATACTCAAAAACGTTACATCGACAATACATATGGACGTTACATCGACAATAGATAAGGACGTTACATCGACAATATACAAGGACGTTACACCGACAATATACAAGGACATGACATTACGAACCGATACTAACAGTTCATTAAAATTTTCATATATAATAGAACTGGTACTAGATTGATAAACAACAGTACTGTTTTGACGAACCGATATTAACAGTTCATTAAAAAAAAGTCCATATATAAGATAACTGGTACTAGATTGATAAACAACAGTGCTATTTTACGACCTGATTGGGCACTATCTGGAAGAGACATGTTGTGTATCTTTAACTTTCAAAATTATCTGCTGTAAATGTTGAACCTACATTATTAAAACTAGAAGAAAAATATTTGCATAGATCTATCACAGCTTCGTAAAAAACGGAAAACATCAATAGAAGAAGTTAAAATGTATTTAGTGGAAAAACCCACACTTATTATAAACAATGAAAGTTAACCAAGCTTATAAAAAAAAAGGTATTTTTTATCTATAATTGTGTAAAAGAAAATAATTTTATCTTGATCAAGTCAGTTGCTAATGAATTATTGTCACGTACATGTTAGGGTATACAGTCGTAGCATTGAGTAGATAGACATTCTAGAACACGACACTGAGATTGTTGTCACGTACATGTTAGAGTTTACAGTCGTAGCATTGAGTAGATAGACATTCTAGAACATGACACTGAGATTGTTGTCATGTACATGTTAGAGTATATAGTCGTAGCATTCAGTATATAGACATTCTAGAACACGATACTGAGATTGTTGTCACGTACATGTTAGAGTATACAGTCGTAGCATTAAGTAGGTAGACATTCTAGAACACGACACTGAGATGTTGTCACATACATGTTAGAGTTTACAGTCGTAGCATTCAGTAGATAGAGACTCTAGAACATGATACTGAGATTCAAGGTTCGGTTGTTCATGATTTCTAACAGAACCTTGTTTCTGTTTTTTATTTCAGCTCACGTTAAACCATTCGTTCTTAGAGTGAGAAGTAACGACAATTCTGTTCTGAATTCACGAGCTTCTCAAACCGGATTTTCCTTAATTTACACACAACTTCCGTGTATTTTCTGATGTATCATTCAATTTCACAAAACTCCCTCTGGTGTCAGGTAAGTTACTTTTGTGTTTTTGAAGCAACAGAAAAAGCTAAGTATTGTACACAACATGTGTAGTATCTATACATCTGTAGGGACCTTTCAAAGCCTGTCAGATTAGTACAGCTTCTCATCCACCAAGTAGCCCTATTGGTTAATAAAGATACGTTTGAAACCTTTTTTAAAAACGTTTCACTTTTTTTACATACTTAAACCAAGACTAAGATGTAATACTTTGTCTACTTTTCTATATTAAAGCAATTTTTCGATCTTTCTTGTAATTTTGATCATTTATTTTGCTAGTCCACGTATTGTGCGTAATACTGGTTGAATTACACTGTATGTGTATTCCTGTATACAGTGTAACGAGAACATTTATTTCACTGCAAGAGATTAGGTCTAAGAAGAAATCAGCTTTTAGGCCAAATAAACCTGAGCTACGTGTGTGTGTTAAACGATTCATCCGGTATTAACACAGGTAATTCAACCAGTATTACGTGTGTGTGTGCGTTAAACTATTCATCCGGTATTAACACAGGTAATGGAAACTGAAAAACCAACAACTTTGCTATAATTAGCCTATGTTAAACTCATACAAGTATGTTCTTGTACCTTAGAACATCCGAATTATGGAATAGAATAAAATGTTATCTTGATAACTTAAGCTCTATTCAGAACACAAAGTTAGAATATATATATGTAAATATTAACTCAGCCAATAAGAACTATATTATATTGAGTCACAATGTTTGCCATTTATACTTTCCATTTGATTTATTAGAATTTGATCATTAAATTCTTAACATTCAATTATTATGTTCTAAGACAAGTGAAAGTTTATTTATTCGCAATGTTTGGTAACCTTAAGTGTGTGTTTTTTTCCAAATACAAAATTACTGTATAACCCTTGGCAAGTTTTCTCTGAGATTTGATTTATATTTATTAAAATTCTTGATAACCTTAAAATTCACGACTGCTCTGAGATTTCTACAATTTTTCTTTTAGTTGACTGAAAGGGAAAACTGATCGTACCCAAGGATGCGAACAAACAACACAACCAAATAGGGAAACCCCATGAACAACTCCTAAATACAATAGAGGAACACAGAAAACTACGAAAAATATATATGGATTCACAAGACCCTCATCTAAAAACCAGACTAAATACATTCAGAAATACTATAAAAAAACGAAATAAAAAGACTAAAAACAGATAGTTGAGACGAATGTTGCTCAAAGCTAAACACACTTACAGACCCCAAAAACTTCTGGTCTCACTTAAAAAGATTTTCTGGAAACAACGCAAACAAATACATGTCTCACACTAAAATACAATAACACCGCTGCAAACACAAACATACAAAAATCAGAAATATTCAGAAAATACCTTGAAAACACGTACAAAACACCAAACAAACCTACAATGAACACATCATTCTACAATAAAGTTAATAATTACATTAATACAAACAAAATCCTATACTCGGTACCTTCCCAGTCGGGGCCCCCTAGTGGTCTAACCAGTAAGTAGTAACAATCCAGAAAACACTACTCAACAACTCATTAAACCAGTAACAGTATCAGAAGTACAAGACAGTTTCAAAATGACAAAAGACAAGACTCCTGGACATGACAAAAGACAGTATATACTTATCAAAAAAGACACACCGAGAATGTACGAACATTTAGCTGCTATATTTATCTGTCTCTAAAATCTGAATAGCTATCGACTGCTTGGAAGCTAGCAGACGTTTTAATGTTTCTTAAAGAAAGAAAGCCAGCAAATAAACCAGAAAGCTACAGAACAATTAGACTAACCAGCTTTATTGAGAAACTACTAGAAAAAGCACCAGTTCAAGAATTTGGGCTTATCTCGAACTGACATCAAAATTACCTAAAATGCAAAACGAATTTCAGAAAAAAGACAAACAACAGATCATCTGGTAAGATTTACAAAAACAATGGTAGACAGTTTTAACGGAAACGAATGCACTGTCGCTTGTTTTATCGATGTAGAGAAAGTATTCGACACTGTATGGCACAACGTACTAAAATATCGGTTGTCATAAATGAAAGGATCGCAAGGTGTTACTCGTTGGCTCTCCAACTTTCTAGACAACAGGAAAGCTAAAATTAATGTGTCGGGCATCTTCTCGGAGTATTTTACCCCGGAGGCAGGTGTTCCGCAAGGAGGTGGTAGTTAACCCTATTCTATTTATCGTGTATGCGAGTGAAATGCTACTGTCTGATTCAAATTTCTGCTTCTGTTCTCAGTTTGCTGATGATGTGGCTCTCTGGAAGAGCTCCTACAGTCCAACCATAGCAGCGACAAATTTGCATCCACGATGAAATGAAATAAGAAACTACTGTAACAAATGGAGAATCAAGATAAACGCCCCTAAAACACAAATCATATTATTCACAAAATCGAATAAGAAGAGCAAACAGCCTCCAAAGTTATATATTCTCCAGGTAGCCACATTAGCCAAATTCCTGAGTCTAGCCTACGATTCCAAGCACTAAACATATAAACGAAATTAGAAACAAAATCTGGCAAAGAGCGAATTAGGTACAACGTCTGACTGGCAACAACAGAGGCGCTACAACCGAAAACATAAAATATATAAAACCTACATACGCCCAGTGGCAGAATATGTCTGCCCAGCATGGTTAAATGTAACCAAACCACACGTGAACAAGCTACAAACAATACAAAATTCAATCATCACTAAAGCATATAGAGATCGCAGATACACAAACACAGCATTCTTACATAGTTACGACATGCTTACATAATTACGCAAACATCCCCATGTTGTCAGACTAACTTAAATAGATCAATAGACTACTTTCGCAAAATTATTAACAAAAACGAATCATTGTTAACACTGAAAATCTTTATCATACATGATAATAAACCTAAGCACCTCTCACCACTAAATCTAGTAAACTATTTATGTAACTAATAGACACCTACTACTGGACAAATCGGTAGCTAGATATAGTGTTAATTTTATTTTAAAAGGGTTTATTTATGTTAAAATAGGATTAGTGCTATATATTTCCAATTGATATTTATGGAACTGTTTATACGAACAAAACTATCTTGACAATGAAAAAAAAAGTGAAAGAAGTTTATATCAGAAAGCTCGAAAAGCACGTTATACATTCACGGACACGGCCTGGAAAGGGTCACTCGCGTGTGTGAATGATGCACACAGTGACTGCACGCTGTAAAAACGAGCTTTCCTAGCTACCGAACTGAATAATTAATGTGGACTTCATCCAACACTCAAGAATCAAATCAATAGTCAAGGAAGGAGGTAAAGGTCCAGGTGTACCCGATCCTCCCAAGTTACATGACCAAATGAAACAACAACTTGCTCATGTAGCGCCACCTAACACGTGACTGAATATTTATACACTAACTTTAGATTGTGTCACATGACGGTAACAGCTGCAATTACTTTATCTGAATACAGGTGATATGCATATAATGGTGAATAAGGCCTACAAACATATCTATATGGACAGCATGACAAGATTCCAAATTCAAGGTTATTGTGGCAAATTGCTGCAAGACCATTTTTTTCTTCAATAACCAAAAATGCTATTTTTCAATTGCTAAAGTGCTTGGGATATTAATGGATAGTGTTCATGAAAGGTATTGCAATGATGAAAAGTGCCAGTCTTCGTAAGCTGATTATGAAGGAAAAGAAATAACCTGATCAGTTAACAAAAGACACTTTTAAAAGTAATTGTATGCCTATTTTTTTACTGAACAATGACCGATGTTTCATCAGTCATTTGTGACCCACTTTTTTGGGAAATTCTGAGTAAAGGTGAATTTATATTTTCTTTTTTCATCAGGAACAAATAGCAAGAGGATGGAGTTCAGAGGTCATGCTTTCCAAGGTGAAAGAAGCTGGATGAGTTTCGTTGGCGGAGAAAATCTGTTAAATATGGTTTTCTTCATGATGTATACTAATATTTCTTACTTAGTATTAATTAATGCTGGACTTTTAATATAGCATTTGTACAATCGCCATTTTCGTTTCTTAGAACTAAGGTAAAATTATAAAAATATTGAAAACAAACAAAAAACAAAAATAAAAATGTTGGCATTTACGTAGTGCATTCAGTTGAAACGTGTGTATTTGCTACAAAGTACATATTCGTACTCTAACTCGGTAAAATGTAAGTTTACTTGTAATCAAAGTCTACATTGTGGTGATTTAACACAGTAAAACGTATGTGTATTTGCAATCATAGTGTATATCGTGATGTTTCAACTTGGAAAATTATTCGTTGAAGGTCATAAAATGTTATAACTAAGTTTTATGATAAATGTAACAACTAGCTAATATTTATTTATTTATTTAATTTCTGTACATTTTATAGAGTAATAATTTCAATTTTCATAAGGTTTTTTTTTTTTCAAAATTTGTTAAAACATCAACTATTGCAAGCTATTTAAAATACTGAGAAAATAATGTATTTTATGAAGTTTCCTAGTCTAGACAGTAATTAGTCCTAGAGAATATTGTTGTTGGTATTTAAATAAAACACTATTTTTTTTTATAAATGACTTTTGAACTGTGTTTGTTTTTAAGAATTGCAAATTGTATCATTTGCAGTTTCTTTTTACAACAATTCGAAGTTAAGCAGCAAATAAGTCAATATTTTCTTTTGTACCATAGAGAATGGGTCGGGGCACGAGTTACTGGTTAACGATTCTAGCTACAGATAGGAAGGTCTAAGTTTCGAGCCCGCGATTTACCACTCAACATGCTCTGTGGGGCGAGTTATAAAATTAACAGTCAATCCATATATTATGGTAAATGTAGCCGTCTAGGCGGCAGGTGCTGAAGATTGGTTGCATGCTCTCTTCAGTTAGCAGTTTGTCAGGAACTTACTTTTTTATATTACATATAGTAAGTATATGGGTGTGTTGGGCTAAGGATTCTCCTCAGTAGG